CGGGGAGCGACCACTGCACTCCAGTCTGGGCGACAGAGTGAGACTCCAACTCAAAAAAAAAAAAAAAAAAATAGGACCCTCACATCTCAGGCTTAGGACAGAGATCCCTTTTCTGTGTTGCTCCTTGGCTGTCCATATGTCATGGGGCATTAAAAGGCCAAATGTCACTCGATTCTGAGGACAGAAAAGCAGCTGTAATGTGATCTTACCTGGGTTCGTCCTCATCGCCCTGAAAGACAAACAGAAAGAAACAGCATTAGAAACCATGATTGGTGCCAACAGGATACGATTTCTTCTCTCCCTCCTTTCCCAACCTGAAAGCACGGTTTGTGCATTTATTGTAACAGAGAAAAACCAACAGACATCTAAGGCAGGACAGGGTCAACAAAATGCCATGTCCAAACTGCCCAGCAGAGATGAGCTAACAATCTGCCCTGGCAAGCAGAGACGCGAGTGCACCACAGACCTGGGTGGCCTAAGCAGCAGCCTGGTCTTTTCACTTGCACGGCAGGTAGTACTCCGTTTTGAGCCAGACGAGGACCCCAAAATAGCAGCGGGTCTGAGGCAAAAGCTGGCCGGCTCTAAAAGCCTCAAGCTGTTTCCTTCAAAGACCCATCTCGGTCTTGGTCCAGCATTCTTCATCACACGCGAGCACAGCGACTCTAATGTACAGAGCTGTGAGGGAAAGGACCCGACGGGACTCAGGAAACTGGATTCTGGCCCGAGTTCTCTGCCCAAGCTGTGTGCCCCTGGGCAAATGGATTAATTAACATGGCCCCTGTCTTCTCTCCTGCAAGGGGCAGCTTTGGCATCCAAGGATGCACAACCTTCTCCAGTCAGAGAATGGCTTTCTTCCCATCCATTCTGTAAAAATGTGTGAATGCCACTGTTCCAGGTGCTATGTCCTCTCCTCTGGCAGACTCCTCTGAGCCTCCTTCTGTGGGCAAATAAGATTGTTCAAATGACTCTCAAGCCTTTCCCAAGGGATTGCACTCACCCTCTGGTGACAGAGTAACTTTACAACCTCCTCTTAGTCATTCAGAGAAGTCTCAAGAGAGAATGCGCCTCTAGTACTATCCAGAGAATGAATGAATGAATGAATGAATGATTCCTACTGACATAAAGTCTGACCTCCGGGGTCAGACACTCTGGGTTCAAATCTTGATCCCAGCACTTTCCTGCTGTGTCACCCTACTCAGGTGAATGTACCTCTTGACTTCCATTTCCTAGTCTGTAAAACAGGGCAAGAGTCATCTCTATCTATATCCTAAGTATGAAGATGGAATGACCATCAAGCACAGTGCCTGGGACACAGGTTACTTATCAGTATTGGCAGCTATACAGTAGGATTCATTAAGAAGCTACTCCACGCAGGTGCTGACTGAGGATTTTAAAAGATAACCTGGCACGATTTCCTATTCTTGCAGGAACAGGAGAAACAGGCAAGAGAAGTGAACCAGGACACAAGGTAAGGACTCTACAAAGACTAACAGAGCGCTCTGAGAGTCAGAAGGAAGTGGAGGCCACTGCCCCACCTGGAGAAGGGAACGCTCCTACTGGCCTGAGGGATAAGCAGGGTTTTCCCAGGACTACTATGACAGGGAAAAGTGGGAAGGGCACTGACCTAGTGAGAGCAAAGGTGCCCATTTAAAGAAATGCACTGCTTAAAGTGAAAGTAGAGAACAGGGGTAGGGGGGTGTGCACGTGGGTCTTGGGCAGATAGTGGGGAGCATGAGATGGCAGATGCCAGGACGGGTGGTTGTAGTGTGACAAGGGAGAGGGGTGCAGGGTGGACAGGGTGTGCGTGTGTGTCTTGGGCAGGGGTGTGGGGGGCAGGGGTGGGAACCGAGGATGGGTAGGTGAGTGTGACAGAGGCAGTGGGGACTGATCGCCAGGGAGCAGCCAGTGAAGGACAGCTACAGCCAGAAGGTGACCTGGGCCAGCCTGGACGCTGAAGGCTGAAAGAGGACGGCATGTTAGCAGGCGGTCAGAACTCACAATCATACTTCAGGGTGCGAAACCCCCACACCCTCAGAAGAGGGAAGTGGGGCATGCGGTAGAGAGAGGGTAGGGTGCTGAAAGCTTTCTCTGCATTTTGATCAACTGGTATGTCTCACAGGAACTATAATATAACAAAAAAGAGTCCTGTATTTCAAATTTAATATAAGTTACATAACCATTAATGACACAAATCTCAATACCACTTTTCAGTTGCTTTTGGGTGTTTAAATGTAACTGTCTAAAAGAACCTTATACAAAAAATGCCTGAATGCCTGAACCCTCCTCTTCACAATCACCTACCCCAGCACATGAGAAATGGCGTTTCTGAGTTACAAAAACATGGTCTCAAGTCTGGCTCATTAACCCCACAGTGATGCTTGCACGAATTTACTTCACTTTTACCAGTTTCAGTCTCTTCATCTGCACATGGAGATCCTAATTCTTATCTCAAAGGGTCATGGATCAAAAGAAGTGAGATCAGTGTGAGACACTAAACAACTGCCCAATAGTCGCAAGTCAGTGTGCAACACGGCAGCCACCACTGCACTTTCCTTGAATTATTAACTCACAACATTCCCAGAGGAGAGCAAGGTAGAACAGGAAGTAAGTGGCACAAGGTTCTGCTGCATGTTTGCCCATTTCTGCCACTCACAGAGGTGTGCCTCTTCAGAAACAACAGTCACTATCACATAGCAAGAGCACACACACACGAATTGCAGGGCTGCTGTGAACAGGTCAATGGACAGAGAGAGGACTTGCACATCTCATACCCACGCTGTGCATGTCTGTTCTTCCTCCCTGAAATGCACTTCCCTGTCCTGAAGGCCCAGTTAGTTCCTACCCATCCTTAGAGACCAAGCCTCTCTCGGAAACCTCCTTGCTAACAGCTTGAGCGGATTAATCCTCCACCCCTCCTCTGCACCTGTAGGGTTCACCCTTCGAGGCTAGTACTCAGAAGAAAACTGACAGTGATTGCAGCACACAGTGCTTTCCTCTTTGGATTTCAATTCCTTGAGATCAGAACTGTCCTGCTCTGTGTTCACTGCATCTACCCCAGCACAAGGCACACCATGAATAATGACTCAAGACAGACGTAGGGCTTAAGATGAACTTCCGCCACCACTGTGAGCGAATTCTGGTTTCAGAGAACATCGGAAGTGAGAGTCTGTGAAACGCCAACTTCCACACAAGTGACTTCTTGGATTCAGCAGTGCTCTAGTCCATTCCTGGAACGCCTCAAGTGCTCACAGTCAGCAGGCTGCACTCTCCTGCAACCTCCCCCTCTGCATCCCACCAGTGGACATGCTGTTCCCCAAGAATCAGCAAGTTGCATCCCAAGTCCATTTACGTCAGGTGAGCTTACAAGTACAATTTAATCAGTAAGAACAAGTGAGTGCAAGTTACATACCTGCTGCTTCAGTGAAAACTAGGCTGAATGTGTCCACAGTATCAATAAAGATGAATTATCTAAAAATGTGTCAATTTTGAGCTGCATGAAGCATATGCAATCTGCTAGAAAAAAATATGTTACGAAAAATAAGAGTCTGTATTCAACTTACTTTGAATGAAATCCCTGTCACTATACACAGCCTGAAATTGTACCTTATAAATGATGCCATATAGGTGTGGTTTATATCAAAACAGGGCATTCAACTTCAATCAGCAAACCCAATTAGCAAACCCATATTTCAAAGAAAAGGACTTGCTTCAGAATTCAGAAAAGTTATAAATATATGTCTCAAGTTTAAAATAAGTGATTATGGTATGCATGTATCATTTTTTTATTAATTTTTTTTTGAGTTGAAGTCTCACTCTGTCGCCCAGACTGGAGTGCAGTGGCACACTCCTGGGCACCGCAGCCTCGACCTGCTGGGCTCCAGCGATCCTTCCACTCAGACTTCCAAGTAGCCGGAACTACAGGCGCGTACTACCACGCCTGGCTAATTTTTTCATTTACTGTAGACATGAGGTCTTGTCAAGTCGCCCAGGCGAGTCTCAAACCTGCGGACTCAGGCAATCCACTCACCTTGGCCTCCCAAAGCGCGGGATTACAAGCTGAGCCACCAAGCCCAGCAAAATTTTTTATTATTATTTTTAATTTTATCTTTTGAGTTGGAGTCTCACTCTGTCACACAGGCTCAGCTTTCCAAGTAGCTGGAGCTACAGGCATGTGCCACCATGCCCAGCTAATTTTTCTTGATTTATTGTAGAGAAGCAGTCTTGCCAAGTTGCCCAGGCTGGTCTCGAACCTGTGGGCTCAGGCAATTCTCTCACCTCAGCCTCCCAAAGTGCTGGGATTATAAGTGTGAACCACCACACCTGGCCTGCTTGTATCATTTTTTAATAATTTTCACATGCAAACTAACTTTTTCCAATATTATCTCACGGCAACTCAGTACTCTCCTTTCAAAACTGGACAAAAAACAAAAATGCTCATGACATAAAAATACACATCTTTTTTTTTTTTTTACCTGCTTGACCATGGCAAAGAGTTTCATAAAAACAATATAACAAAATTCAGCACAAAAGAGTAGAAAAGTCAGAAACAAATGAGGAAAAAATACTTCTCAGTCTCTTTCATGAGGCCAACATACCCCTAATACCAAAACCTAACAGTGGTATTATGAAAGTATAAAATTAAAGACGAAGATCCCTCATGAACAAAGACACAAACTCCCTTTGCTGTGTTTATCCATTTCTGCTGCTTACAGCCTCTTTTCAGAAACAACAGTCACTATCACAAAAACAAAAAACAAAAAAAACCCACACACACATGAATTACAGGGCCACTGTGAACAGGTCAGCAGACAGAGGGCTGCCAATCTTGCTGTATTAGCAAGCTGAACCCAGATAATACATCATGACCAAGAGGGACTCAGAAATGCAAGGTTGGTCTAGTATTGTAAAATTAAACAACACAAGAGAATAATAGAGAAAACCACCTCATCATTTCAACAGATGCAGAAGAAACATCTCTCAAAAGTCAACATCAGTTCATGGCAAAACCACTCAGCACATTGGGCAAAGAAGGGGACTTCCTCAATCTGATATAAGGCATCTATAAAAAGCATCACACTTGATAGAAATGTACTGAATGCTTTAATTCTGAGACTGTCAACAAAATAAGGATGTTCACTTTTATCACTGATGTTAGACACTGCACTGGAGCCCTTGCCACTGCAGTAAGTCAAGAAAAATCAAGCAAAAGGCATAAAGATGGAAAGGAAG